GGGGGGGTTCCTCCAAACCCCCCCAATCCCCCCTGGCTACGGGCATCGCACAATGTATCTCGAGTTTTAAAAGGACGTCTCTGGCTTTTCCCATACCAGGCTCCAAATGCACTGAGTGATGGCTGCTGTAGACTAACTGTGCCATAAACAATGGTTACACCCACTTTCTAGGTCAAGTGCATTGTGGAAACCAGAGACTTTGATCATGCTGAGGAGCTGAGGACAAAACTCATGGATAGATACCAGCGTGTGGACTGGGGACCACACAGCGCCACCTTTCGATAAGCAGCAGTACTGCAGGATATTGGGTATGGGCATTCTCCTTCCCAGGTTGTGTGTTGTGTGCCACCAGAAGTAGTAGGCAGGTTTTGCATCTAAGTATCATTTAGGAAATCCAGGAGCAGGGAAGACCAATCATCAGACAGAGAACATATGCTGACTTCCTAGAAAGGCATTCGTAGGTATCATTGGATGAATAACCAATCAGGGCTATCTGTGTCAGATGATGCAGTCAACCAATCATTGCAGCCCTTATCACCAGGTGATCCAGATGGACCAATCAGCTTGCAGCTTTCTTAGGGTTAGGTGGTCCAGACAGTCAGTCATTGGAGGATTGACACAGAAGCAATTCTAATAAGCAAAGGCATGCAGGACATGTTGTGTACAGTGAAGCAAGAGCAACTTGATGACACTAATTCCAAAGTAATTCCCTGTTAAAGTATCAAGCTTAGGTCACACCAATTTAATTTGTTGGCTCACAGATAGGCCCGCTTCATTTTTTCTGATTTGCAAAAATTCTCATATTTTGGGCCCCAACAGTCCCTTCTCTTCAGAGTTGTTACAGTATTTCCATCTATAATGTAGTGGTTTGATTGAAAGTTTGAAATTGTCATTGTTTGAATTACAAACCAGCCTGATATGTTGACTTCATGGCTCCTATCATGATATCATTTGGGGCTATCATAGGATGCCTAGGTCTGTTTTTATTTTTTTTCGCCCAGTTGCTTGAATTTTTTCCGAGAACCAACAAATCAAATTGTGGCCTTAGACTCTATTGCCTTTCAAAAAAATGTGTCCCACTCCCCCATGCATCCTTTCTTACGTGTACATCTCTGTCTCACAGGTAAAGTGCACCGTGGAGACCCGTGACAAGGAACATGCAGAACAACTGGAGACAGAACTACGCAATCGCTATGAAAACGTCCACTGGGGACCTCACTTTCACCTCTCCCCTGCTGCACTCCAACCACAGATGTCTTCATCTAGCTTTGAGGATGAAGACCCCTGATGCAAAGACCTTTGACGTATCTAAACATTGTACTGTTTGTGCTGGTTTTCTTTATGTTTGACCGCAACTATGCCAACAATGCAGGAGAATGATACATTTTTTAAATGACTTGTTTAAGTGCCTTTAGCAAAATAAAACTGTACCAACAACATATTCATGTTGTGTGTGATGGGATCAAAATATGTATATTTCCAAGTGTATCAGTGTAGAATACATTTTTTTGCTCAAAATACCAACATCACAAATCTTTGTATAGAAGAATTTTATATTTTGAGTTTTGACTTAGAAGCTGAATATGCACAGTTCTGTCACCTTTAATACTAACTACCTTAAACTAGTACATGAACTGTATGTATAATTTCTGGGGTGCTTTTGGTCTACCTAGATGGGTTTTTTTTTACTTTCATCATTATTTTCTTCACCATTTTGCCATGAATGTAGCCATAAAAGTAACCTGACAAAGGAAAAATCCACCTGTCAAGACTGTTTTGTAGACACTTATAAAATTGCATGCAGCTGTTCTTTATAAACAAATTATTTTTTCTCTAAGTAGTATTTTTGTCATTTTTTTAAATAATGGATTGTTTATGATCTGAACATCATTTTGTTGTTTAGCCAATGGCTGTTTTACACAAGGATGTACTGTGTAATATTTTGTGTATGAATTATTTTGGTTTATGTGAAAGCTAGAGGATATTCATCCTGTGTGGCAATGTCTATTTGGTGGCAGTTTTTTTTTTGTTTTACTGTATTTGAAGCAGACTGAATATTATGACCCAGTGAAGAGTGTTAGCAGTGGTAACAATGTAAATATCATATATGGAATGTCTGCTTTGTGCAGTGTTGTTTTGAAGGATTTTAAAGCAAAGTTGTAACCATTTTGTGTCATCATGTGGAGTATAAAGGATCAAGCTTACGGACCTTGACACAAAAACCATGCTCAATACAAATGCTCCCATACGCACATGTGCCTAGGTCTACTTAATAAGTGGCAGGGCCAGTATAGCTGTTATAGAAGTGAAATGTAACATGAGCCACAATCAAAAATTCTACATATAGATTTGTATATGATGTGTTATAACAGATCAGGAAAAAAGGAAACATGGTAGTATTAGGTTTTCTTGTTGTGCAACATCTGCGAAACTGCCCAAGATGGGCACAAGAGTTCTATATACAGGTACATTCTGAATATGTTTCTGGTGAAAAAAAAAAGCCATAATTTTATCGTTTTTATCCCCTTTCAAAAAACATTACGAAATGGTGTCCCAAAACTATGGGACATTCATGTCATATACATGATGTAGCATATACTGCAGATATTTAACATCTATTTTTGAAAGTAAAATAACATGGTGTCAGAAAGATGTAACTTATTATGTGTAACTTGTGTATACATGGCATGACACGTATACGGTTTTATAGATCGTGAAGCCAGTGTCTTCACTGATGTATCTATGTTGCATGTGCTGCAAAAGTGTATGAGGGCTTTACGTGAAAATAAAGCTATATGGGGAACACTTTTGTGTCTTGTTTTGAATGTCTAAAATGGCAACATCGCACCAGAAAGGGTGAAGTATATACTGCATGATTAATGTATTGGTCAGGATTTGCATAGGGTATGTACAGTATGCATGGCCACATTTTGCCATTCAAGGCAGTTGTATACTTCCATATCACACACTAACACAGTATTAAGCTAGCACAGTGGCATTAGACCGGCCAGTGGTCGACAGTTTCAATACTATTTTGAAAGGTCAGCTGCATCACCTATCGGCAGTTTTGAAAAGTACAAGTCCACTAGAGAAGTAACATTTGCAAAGCAAATGCATAATGTTTACCTTTCGGACATGGTGTGCCCTGCTAATTTTTTACTCAAACACATTCACATAACGTTACATGTACATGTACTACGATTATATGGTGACAGGAGCAGAGCAGACCAACATTATGTAACCCAACACCAGTCACCATGGTGACAGACGTCAACAAATCATGTCATTGGCCAGGTCAAAGGTCAGTGTTTGGAACAGAAGAGGAAGAAGAAACTGAGTAAAAACTATGTTTTCCTTCGGTAAACATAAAGATTGAAGACGAGTAGATAGGACACTTGTAAAGAAATGAGAGTAAAATATTCGTAAATACACAAAGAGCGCCCTTACAACCGTTGGAAGCTAGGGAAAATCAGGCGGTAGCGGCTTGTGCTGTGTACCTGTCCTTGGTGCTGAAATCGTCATCACCACAACACTAACGAACAATGGTTACGCGCGGGGTAACACTTCAATAAAGCAGCACCACCTAACGATAGTTTTGAAAAGTACAAGTAGGTAATTAGTAGATGGAACACTTGGAAAGGAGTGCATTTGTAAATATAGATACATAAAGAGCGCCGTTGCTACCATTGGAAGCCATCCACATAGGTGGATATTGCGGTAGCAGCGATGCTGTGTATTTGTCCTTGGTGCTGAAATCATCATTACCACAACACTAGCGGATAGTGTTTACGTGTGGGCTAACACCACGCCCCTTTAGCTCACGGGTAAACATGTCTGTCCATATACGGTGCATGAACTTGAGCAGGGGAAGCATCAGGGAGTAGTGTGCAATGTGTTAAAATTCTACCTGCCAATTATATCAGCCTGAAGGCATTTCAGAACTAAAAGTGTCACAATATCGACGATTTCCCCGAGCCGTTTGAACCATTAACAGCGATGACAGTGACAACTCCTACCGGGAAACGTTACTATGGTATTAGAAATGGTTATGTTCCCGATTTTCCCTTCCTATTAAGAAGAAGTGCTCTTTTGTGCCCTCATACAGCATACCAAGAGAGCAACACACACACACACGATTCTGCTAGCAGAAACCGCAAACTAAAACCGGTGTAACCGCAGTAGATGATCGCTACTGCGCGTGTTTTGATAAAGGATGGTAAACACCACATCGAAATGTATTTACCGACAGGCTGCATTAGCCTACGTTAGCCAGCGCATTGATTGCACGGCGCGGTAAATCCATCAGCGCCAGCTATGATGGGCGTGCTTTTGAGCGCTCGTGTCGTCCGTCGTAAATCATGCCGAATTTCGGCGCCAGCCGTCTGCGTCCCTGAGCTGCCCTCTGTACCGCCCCGAGGCCGGAAGGCCCCGATAGTTAAACTGTTACGAGCCGGGGAGGCTGCCGCTACAACATCCGGGAGAGATAGCGGGAGAAATCATGAGTGGATCGCCGCCCAATCCAACTTTAGTCACGCCGCACTCCAACCGCAACGGAGGGGGATATCTTCTGCACGTTGCCAGACGATATTACGACAGAAATGCTACTTTACTTGGTATCACAGCTCAACATTCCACCCCATGTATGAATGCAATTAATTGTGGAACAATTGAACAAGTAACAATTTATGCCAAAAGCAACAATTGAACAGAGTACAATACACAATTTGTGAAAATGATTTGTTTTTTCAATGAAGGGGCAAAGTGTGTTATGCACTGCATTCAACAACCAGTGGACTTTGTAAGTGTATTGAAACTCCGTCAGTATAATATGACGTCAGATGGACGATAAACTCATGACACAGCGTGCATGTCAGAAAATTTGACAACAAAGGCACAAAAGTTTTCTCATTGTATCATCTCGCTGACCAAGCCGCTTCTCCTCTGAGTCCCATAGTCTCTGGACATAGCGACTCTCAGCGGGTACTGCAGCTGCAGGCGGTCGCCCACCTCTCTGATCTATCAGGACCTCCGTGGCGCCGCTTGTCTGATCCTCCGCCTGCCCTCCCGCTCTTTCTGCTCCACCCCGTGTGTCCCGGATGTGCACTTCACGTCGTCTGCAGGTAACCGGGACGACCAAATGTGAGCGAAGGATTACTCCTCACGGAAGAACTGACAAAGCTCACCTTGCCGACGCTTCGTTTCTTTGCACAAAGTGTCAGCGCTTCATAAGTTTTGCCTGTCGAGAAACTTGCACGCTTTCAGTACAGCGACAGTGATGTAAGCATCAGATCTCCGAACCATCTATGTGAAAATCTGTCACTTCAAATCACACAAAAGGCTTCCGTTCCACAAACTCTTTTTCTCCAAAACGACGAAAAACATGTTTAGAAAAAAAAATAAGTCACCTTACTCCTTTTCCCAACCAACATATTGACTTCTCTTCTCAAAAATTGATGACGAACGTGTTCTTTGTGTGTGTAAAGGCGATGACTCTCGACAAGACAAGACATGCACATCGCAACCTTAAACCCATGATGAAAGACCGTAGACATTACAACATCCTTCAAATGCTATCAGAGTGACCATTCCCCGCTTCTTTTCTTATTTCTGA